TAAGAACCAAGAGAGATTATGTAAAGGTGCAAATTTCCAACGATGAATGTCATTATGTTGTACACCTAAAATGTACCAATAAAAGGATATGCAAAAAAAATCTCAAATTATCTACAAAATGGAAAATAAAAATTGTCTAAACTACTACTTTATACACATGTACAGAAATCTCAAGGTTTTTTTTGGTACCAGGGATTGAACTCAGGGCTTTGAGCTTGCCAGACAGGCGGCAGCACCACTGAGCTAAATCCCTGGCCCAAACTCAAGTATTTTTAAAACTTCCAGATAGCTGTTCTTTCCTGTTTTTCATCTTTCCCATCCACTAAAAATGCCAAGAAATATAGACAGATTACACATGTTAAAACTTTCACAAAATCACTACCTCCTTTGTGATAGAAATTCTGATTCATTTATAATAATTTATACCTAGTTACTGCATTAGCTGTTTTAAAGTTATTTAAGAAAAAGCTGACTTTCCCCCTCACAAAAGAAAGAAATTTCAGACATGTATGGACAGAGAATCAGTCTCCTGTGTAATTTACTGTAAAAAGTTTTGGAAAATGTGCACCAGGCAAAAAATGTCAAAGGGAAAAGAAGGGGGAGGATAGAATGTAAGAAAGAGTAGAAATAAGCCAGGCATGATGGTGCTCACCTGAAATCCCATGACCTGGGAGGCTGAGGCAGGAGGATCATAGGTTTAAACCATAGAATGCACTTTCACCTTTGAAAGGCCGCTCCCTGTCTACATCTTTTCCTGTGTCTTGCTCCTCCTGGCAATGCCTCACCCTGGCCAAAATGCACTATGGCCCTTCATAGTCCATGGGAAGAGAAGAAACCCAAAACATGAGTTTAACTCCCAAATACATAGATGAGCTTTTCAGTTCTGAGGATCTCAGGGGCGCGATGGGCAGCTGCAGACCTACCATGAAACTTGTCAGCCTCGGGATCGTTCGCATTGATAGCGATCAATTTCCAATCTGTTTCACCTTGATCAATGAGAGCCAAGACACCAAGGATCTTCACGGGGACAACCTCTCCGCGGGAAAGAACCTTTAATGAGAAAAATCATTGCTGTAGTGGGTTTTGGAGAGTTTCCCATATGTCATAATAACCATATGAGAGAGGGGAAGCACCATGAACCAAAATTAATAGTTTCAATAATTAAATAGAATGTAAAAGTACATAATTATAAAGTTTGCCTTGAAATGTCCCTTGTGGAATCTCAAAATGTTCTCTTCAACCAAGATGGGATTAGTGATCAAAAGAAAACACCTTGTCCCTTCAGAAACATGGACAAAATGTATGAAATCCCTCTTTGCAAAAAGTGAATGCCAGGTGTGCAGGATTGCGACCCAGTGTGAAGACAGAAGATGAGCTGGGTCCCGGGGTCCCCTGGGTCTCTGATCCACACTTGCTGGGCTGAACACAGGATGTGGACCTGAAAGAACAGAGCTAGCAAGAGCCAGGGGACAAGGACCAGGGTGGGAGACACCTCCTCCCCGGAAAACCCGATGCCGCCACCTCAGAGGGGAAAGCAGTTCCACAAGCTGCCCAGTTTCCTTTCCTTTCCAGGCTCATTTTGCTGACAAATAATCAATACTGCCTATACCATGGCTTTATATGTAGCTTACATCACAGAGGCAGAACTCAATTTTCCACTGCTTCTTAGAAATACTGAGTGCAATTTTCTGTATAAATCCATTTAGTTTTATGTCCTAAAGAAGTGTTTGTGCAATGCCATGTTTTTAGGAAAACAGTACTGCCAGTAAAGAGAAACAAGGAAACACACAAACAGGGAGGATAGGGCAGCTAGAATTTGCAGTAATGGCAATGAGAATGAAGCCCAGCAATCTCCCGGGGCTCTTTGGTGACTCTGATGAAACAGTGACCAAGCTCGGAGGAACTAGGGAACTGGAGGCGGAGCTCAGGCACCCAGGGAACCTGACATGCAGGACAGGCCTGGGAGTGGCATCCTCAGGGCAGAGCAGACCAGCCTTGGGGAAAGGTTCCTCCCGATCTGCCCTAAAAAGGATTTTTTTTCTTAAAATCCCCAGAGACATGAGGATCACAAGTTTTCCTGCTCTACCAGGGGAAGGAGAAGCTGAAGTAACACCTCTGATTTCTCTCTCCTGAGCAAAACAGACTGGGAACTGCAGACATTGTGTAACATGCTTAAGTGCGGCTGCAATCCCACTGTTATGTGAACAAGAACATTTACAGACGAGCGAGAATCAAGGACAAATGCAGGGCCAAGTAAGAAACAAGGAAAGGCGTCCTGAAGCTGGTCTACATCCCCAAAGCAATGCTTCTCTCGTCATCCTTAGTTATGTTTGGAAGAACTGGAAGTTTCCCTAAGTGTAACTTATCCCTTAAGGCATATCTATAAGCTTTCCCATGATAATGCATATTCAAATTGAAAAGTTAAAAAATGTCATTTAACTAACTATAAATTTTTAATTTAAAAATCAAAATAAAGCCAGGTGTAGTGAGGCACATTAGTAATCTGCGTTTCTCAGGAAGGCTGAGGCAGGAAATTCACTTAAGCCCAGTAATTTGAGTCTACCCCGGACAACACAGTAAGACACTACCTCAGGCAAATAAATAAAACAAAATGATTTTTTAAAAATCAAAACAAAATCACTTTGTATAAGTAAAAATATAATCCATATATTTAAAAAATATAGCACTAAGAAAGTAGAGTTTAAACCTGTTGTAATTTGATGTACAAATATAAGAATGCAAGTTATTTACATATATTGAAATTTAAGATATTAGGCCTAGAAATTCACATTAAACAAAAAATAAACCCATATACATCCATGCATAATATCAACTTGGCTCTTGCTTGGTGGGAGGGGAGGAAGGAAGAGATCTGAGAATTTGGTTTTTTTTGAGACAGAGTCTCACTGTAGCCCAGGCTGGCCTCCACCAACTCCTGCCTCCGTCTCCTGAGTGCTGGGGTTACAGGCATACACCACCATGTCTGTCTGGCTCCTGACAAAAATTAGTAATTGTCAAAATGACATTTTTTAACTTTTAAATTAACTCACAGTACCTGTTTTTTGCAAACCACATTCATAAGTTTTGGTGAAAAGTAAAACATTTAGAAGCTTAAGAAGGTAACGAATGACAATGAAATAATTGTTAATGTTAAAGATGTAAGCACAATGGGCTTAATAAAACTCATAAAAAAGATTTTAGGGAAACTCCAAAATAGGAAGATGTGGAAGCAGATATCGCGCGTGCTTGAGAAAGTTACGACAGGGATTCTCTCATGCTGCCCACACTTGTATTCTTTCTACACTGTCATTTCCAGGGGCTGATTTGGCCACAGAATTCCACAGGCTTTGTAACAAATTTCTTCATGACTGCAAATGCAGCTTTACATTTAGAAACTATGCAAAACAAGTTGTTTTTGTGTCCTGAATTTATTTTGAAAAAAAGGGATTTTTTTTGGTATGGTAGAACTGGGAACTGTGCTACACCCCAAGCTCCTTTGTTATTTTCTATTTTGAGACATGGTCTCACTACATTGCCCAGGCTGGGTTCAAACCTGCAATCCTCCCACTTTAGCCTCCCAGAGTGCTGGTATTATGAGCAAGCACCATTACACCTACCTGACAAAAAAATGATTTTAAAGTGGAATAAATATTTCAAAACATTTGCAAAATGACCTAAGATCTTAACATAAATCTGTGTGAAGCTGTAATTAGTTTACATAATGGATTAATGCGACTGTACAAACTAAACTGAAATCTCACTTGTGGGGAGCAGACACAATTGTATTAGGCAGATCCTCCTGAATTTGGCCTCTAGTAAGTATTCAACACTGTGTTCTAAGCACTTTGTATGCAAACAACATCTCCATTCTCAAAGGCCTATAATCTTATTTGGGAGACTTACACGGAGGCCAGGCTCAACCACTGGAGGACATGACACATGTGAGTTTAAAGGCATGATCAACGCTATGACACTGTGTATGCCACTGTCTTGTGCCAGGCAGCGGAGTCAGGGGCGTCTCCTGCAGAGAATATGATCAAAGGACGCAAGGACAGAGAAGTCAGAAAACAGTTACAGCCCTTTGGATACGGGCGATACGGGCGGTCTGGACGAGGTTACAGTGGATCCTCTTCAGAGGGCAGTCGAAGGTGAGAGAGGAAGAATAAAAAGAGCAAAGGAGGAAAAGACCGGAGCCCTTACCACACTTGGTGAGGCGGGCCCTGGCCAACGGCCTCCGCGTTTCCTCTTTCTCATTGCCCATTGCTCATTGAGATGATGCCATCCATGTCTCAGAAAGGAGGACACAGAGCTTGGAACGCAGAACTGGAGTCCAGGCCAGCCCAGGACCCAATCTGCCCCTTCTGGGTAGGGAGGGAGGGGGTCAAGTGGCCCCGAGGGGCAGGGAGTGAACGTGCTCACTGTCTGGCTCTGGTTATGGATGTGCTTGTGTCGGTCAGCCGTGTGCACACTTCCAACATGTGGAGCTTATTATCTGTGAACCGTACCTCAGCAAAACTGGGGGGAACATCACACCTGCAGCTACAACTTCAACAAACACACTGATCGCTTTTCTAGATAAACACTTATACATATTTGTTTTAAGTGAAATACAACATATAAACTTGAGTTAAGAGTTAACTACAATATACTTTTACACCCACTATAATGACTATTCTTAAAAACAAACAGTGTTGTACCACTGCCCCAACATTGAGGAGCAGAGCTGCCCCCAGCACAGAGGAGGTGAAACTTTCCAGACTGCTGTACCACCGCCCTCAGGGCCGAGGAGGTGAGCTTCCCCCTCTTAAAATGAGAAGACATGTAAACAAGTCTCAAAACCAGACTTCCAGATCACCTAAAGCAACCCTAAAGGGAAAGGAGATGGAACAGTCTGATATTCAACCACCTGGACTCCTTGAACTGGCATAATTTCTCAGATAAAAGCAGAGATTATGCCCATAGTGCAAGACATGATTAATAAATCTAGAGAGAACACAGAAAAAAACATAGAGGAGCTGAGGAACATGATGGAATCAAATGGAATCCATAAAATAGATGCAAATAGATTTCCAGGAGATTAAAAACTTCATTGAAAGTTTATATAGCAGAATGAGCCAATGTGAGGACAGAATTTCAGATATAGAAGATAAGATTGCAATTGGTGACCAGAAAAGAAAAATTTCTTTAAAACAGTAAGGGAGCATGAGAAATCAATCCAGCAGCTGCTAGACGATGCAAAGAAGAATAACATAAGACTGATCAGAGAAAATGTTTCCTACAGGAGAGAGTGCAGGTGACATAAAAAAAAACCGTTCGCAGAAGTGATGGCAGAAAACTTCCCAAGCAGGGGAAAAGAACTTGACATACAGATAAGTGAGGTATGTAGGACTCCAATTAGCCTTGATCAAAAAAATCTACACATAGGCATATAATTGTTAAGATTCCAGAAACCCAACAGAAGAACAAAGTTCTACAAGCAGTCAGAGAAAAGAAAGGAAAGCCCATCAGAATCACAGCAGACTTCTCAACGCAAACCCTTGAGGCAAGAAGAGCTTGGAGTGATACATTTCAAGCCATAAAGGAAAACAGCCTCCAACCCAAATTGACTTACCCCACAAAACTATCTTTCAAAATTGATGGAGAAATAAGATACTTTCATGACAAAGAGCACCTCAGGAACTTCATGAATACCAAACCAGTACTTTAAAATTTTTAGACAATATCCTAGGAAAAGACAACGAGGATCAAAACCCCAAAAGCACAGCAGAATGAATCCATCTGTCAAGACAAGAAATTAAACTCAAAGGTGGAGAACCGAACAAAAAGAAAAAGTCATGACAATGATAAGTCAATATGTATCAGTTATAGCCATCAATGTTAAAGGTCTCAATTCACCAATTAAAAGTAATAGACTGGCAGAATTGGTCCAGGAGCAAGATCCAACAATATGCTGCATAAAAGAAGCACACTTAATTCAAAAAGAAACTCATAGACTGAAAGTTAAAGGGTGGAAAACAATACTCCATGCAACAGGAATCTGAAAGAAAGCA